AGGTTAAAGCTCTTGAACATGAAATGGACATGATTTTAACGTTCCGACTAATAATTTTAACGTGTGCAATAATTTTGGAAGAATAGATTTTTTCTGGGTAATCAATGACAACTTACGCATATACTAATCAGCGTGCTGTGCTAAAAGGTGCTGAAATTCTTCAATTGCGAGCTATTTTCGGCATGTTGCTTAAGTTCTTGATGGGAACTTCTTTTCTGGAATTCACAATAATAAATCGATTATTATCATTAAAACCATTTCGTAATGTCTTTCAATAGAAATTCAGTGTAAATGTTCATGCTACTTTAAGGTTATATTGAGTTAAAAACAGTTAATTGTGATGGCTTATAACTAAATCTTTACGATTGAAAGCTGCAAATCACCCAATAAAAAAATAACAAGATATTTTTGTAGATTCATAAATATGTACATTATATCTCTTTAGACACGACGGGGCACGCTATGATTTTTGATACCTAAAAGAGAAATATATTTTAATACCGCATTGACATCAAACTTTTATTAAGGTTGCTAACGAATACTATTTCTTGATTATACCTTCGAGTTTCATCTGTTATACGTCGGTCATCTTTACCGAAACTAAAGCATTTCTCGTGAATAACGTCCATTTTAAGGCAAGTTTTAATGATGGCGTCGAACGCGACCGTAAAGCGAAATTGATGACCCTCTAGAGTTCTCTAATGGCGGCGACTAAGATACTTATTTGCGATGTAATTAACTGTAAAAACTAACTCGATATTCATTGTAGCATAATTCATATTTAATGTTGTCTGTCTGGTTCTTCAAAAGAGATAAATTATTGTTAACAGAGAGGAATATTAATTAAAAATTTTAACCGAAAAAATTTAACTCGAATTGAGTGCCAGATTCGGTATTCTTCGAGGAGTTGTTTTTGCAACGCTGGCAGGAGAACAGGTTGCGTTGGTGTCATTGTAGCAGCAGTACGAATAGACAAGTCCGTCCTAGGAAGTACCATGGGCACTATGATTTACGCGTATTTTTACGTTTCCAGTGAATGAGGTAAATGGAGACTCGCCCCTTCTATGGTTGGCAACACAAAACATCTCAGGTACTGTCAGCGTTAAAGTTAACGGTCCTCATAATAAGGCGAACTGTTTTCTGTTCGTTGACATAACATTGTTTCATTCCATTTGCTGTACGCAATACGAAAGAGGAGTAAAACCTTCGGAGGCCGTCCGTTACAAACACAAATCAAGCACCAGTCCACCATCATCGAACTGATTTTAATTACCCGCGGTATGGGTTAAAATCACATGAACGGTTGTGCCATCGCGAAACACATGATAGTGACTTTATGTGTTTATATTGAAGAGTAGTATATAGCGATGGTCGTCAGTTATTTTTTTTACGCCTAATGTTTTAATATTATGGATACTTTTGCTTAATAATTTTGCCTTTAAAAATATATAAATACAAGTTGATTTTTTATGTTACATACATAATGTATGAAACAAAAAATGAGGCATACAGATAATGTGATATCAGGCGTAGATGTAATTTCGTCCAATCATCGCCTTTAACTTAATTAATAAGCGGCTGAGCGTCATCCGATCAACTCCGCCATAAACAGATTTTCACCGGCCGAAAAAGATTAGATTATAAACCTTGCCGAAAAATCAAAACCAACGGGCGCGGTTTCGAGCCTTAGCTCGCTTGAAATAGGGGGTGGTTTCCCGCCCACCAGGGCGAAGATGCAAACGAGATTAGAACGTCGTCTGCATAATATTCAAATTTCGAATTGTACGCTGTCGAGACGCGTAGGGCCGGACGATGTACGGCGACAAGTTGCGGATAAATATATCCGGATGCGAGTAGTTCGCTCCGGCTCGCGAGCGAAATGTGGGCGGGCGCGGGCTTCTGCATAGTACACCACAAAAATACAGATTATTCACGAAATTAATATAAACAACTAGTTATAAAATACTAGTTTCATCAAAAGAGGTTTTTTTTTATCTGAGAAGGTGGAAAGACAGCTGGTGGTTCACCTGTAGTTAACATCTGCAGCACCCGCACGGTTGAAGATGCGTTGCCACCTTATAAAGTGGGCACCGGCTACATCACTCAACAGACGAAACGCAGAATTATAAAACTTCTACTTTACGCCGGTCTTCTGTGTAAAGGCCTTGCTTCTTCTCTGGAAGAGACTGACCATTCGTGCCACAGGGAAGACAGCTGCGTGGCCCCACCACAGATAAAGTAGAGCGGCTTTTATTACAGCTGTAATAAAAGCCGCTCTACTTTATATAAAATAATAAAATTTGTGCAGCTGCACTAACTGGGCAAATACCCCGACCTCACAGAAGACCGGCGTTATGTCTTTATACTTAAGAGTTTCATTCGTGAGGTAACTTGGGACTCACTTATTCTGCTGTTGGTAACCTCTTTATTGTGTTGATTGGTCATAGGCGTAATGCTCATCTCTGTCACCATCTAGTGGACCGCTTGCGTGGGCTGAACCATCTCTGAACTAAAGTAAATACGTTACCTTTCAATGGCTTATGATTTCGTAGAGCAGCTATTAAAATAAAGGCGTAGGTTTATGAAGATGTCTAGTATTACGCTCCAGATTTGTTCCGTGGGTATTATGCGTTCATTTGATATAAAACGATCGCTCTCCGGTGTATAAGTATGTCTGTGAAGTCGTCACGATGATCTCTCATTCGATTACTGCTTCAACCTAAAGGCATGCTTTCGCAGTTATATATTGACAGGGATCCAAATGTTTGTTCGTTGATTTGTTAATGTTATCTTCATACCGCATTGGTGTACCGTAGATGAATTAAAACTTACTTGTTAAGACGTCGCATGTCGGTACATGTTCTTTATAACGCGGTTAAAACTGCTTTTAATGTATATTGAGGAGTAGAATGAGAAGACAAAAAGAGAAAAAGAAAGAATTATTAAAAAAATCCATACAGTCGAACATAGAACCTCCTACTTTTTTTAAATCGGTTAGAAATACAGCGAAGTATTCTCAATGCTACTAAGCTGATACTATTCGTAAGCTCTCTACATCTATTGAAATTACTACTCTCTACATCTATTGAATACAAAACTAAAACTAACTAATCTAAACTAACCTCACATCCAGTACCGTTAAATTGTAAATCCGAAGTCACTTCTTCAGCTTAACCCCATCGTTTTGTAGCACTAAAACCTGCTTAAAGATCAACGGTCAAACAAGCGACTAGACCGGGTCGAAGTTCGAATACGAGTTATTGTGTGAACGCTCCCGCTCCATTACAATTTCAATGATCTCTGACCGGAGGTCTCACGCTGACCGGTCCACGCGCAACGTCTCCCCAATCCTAAGTATTTTCTATTCTTTTCATATTATAATTTGACCATCCGCGGCCAAGAATATTGATGTTAGGTCTGCAGTGTCTCCAATACGTAAAATATTTCTCACGTTAGTCTCGAAGGGTGTGTAGAATAAATTTAACATTCGTTATCGTAACGATGTCCAAACTGCGAGTAGGTAAGTTCCTCATGAAAGTATAATTCGTTATTGAACAACGCATCAAACTTTTTAACGTTCTTTATCTGAATATTATTATATTATTTCTTGTACTTGATTAAAGTTAAAGCCCACAGAAAATAAATAGACACTGTTTTAATTTTCTATGTTCTGATAATTTCAACGGTAGCGTTTTGAAACGTGTTTTCGATATCATAAAGGAATTATTAATAAACCTATAAAATGAATAATACGTTCTTTTTAAGGACAACACATATTTTTGAAAATCTAGATTTGTAATAATTATGTATGTCTTTTTAACAAGTATAGAGGCTTTACTTGGAGGCTTTAACAAGTCCTTGGAGACTGCAACAGCTCACGGTGTCCGTGGCCGATGCAGCGAATGAAAATAGCGTATCGGGTAAACCGCTGCGAAACAAAGGCCACTTAGAGAAAAAGATCGACAGTAAGATATCGTGACAAAATTCTGAGTTACAGCGAGGGTTACAAAAAATTAGTGCTAAATTGAATCTTTTTCATTTATCTGCCATTTCTGGCTGATCTACAGTAAACTGCTTGAATTCATGCGATAGTAGTGGTGAAGGCGGCCCACTTGAGGATGAAATGCGCGTGTGTGTGTTACGCGCGCACACACTTGCAGAGCTTAGCGTTTAAATGTTTTGATACAGATTAAATAACACGTTAGCAACAGATTAAATATTAAAAACAGCAGCGCTTATTGAGTCGTGCAATATTTATTGAATGTTTAAATATTACAGATAACATTGTGTACCGTAACAATATATGTATAGTTAAACAATCAATAAACATTTATTAAATTTTTATAAGGTAACAAATTAATTGCAAAATCGTCCTTGTGGAATCTTGACTTTATTAATTTTCAATCATACGTTTACTCGGAATGCCTTTGCAATTTCAACGCGCAAATATACCGCATAAAAAACACTATGTAATATATGTTTGAAATTTAGTAAAATTACAACGGTAAATTAGAGCGGTAAGCTAGAACTGAAACACGGCGATATTCTGTGTCACATTCAAAAGATTTTATTAATTCTTCTTATGTAATTCTGGCCTCTGTTACAAGTTGAGTGATTTCAGATTCGGTCAAAATATTTTTGCCTTTATGTACGACACTATATAACAAAATTAAACAAGAGCCTATCGCACAATGGCTTCGTGACCATGTGACATTAATATTTGCACGTGCGAAATCCAAAAACTATTCTCATTTGCGCCTCTGTGATGACAATCCACGGCTGACTTATTGAGACACATTCTCAAACACGGCGGTTGAATATAATTTATTTTAATATTAAGAAAGCATCAGAAATCTCATCTCAAAATAAAGTTGGCGTTGTCGTTTCCATTGTTGATTAAAATTAATACAGTACTAAATTTAAAAATAAACTTGTATGACCCCGCATAAAAGTAGAATCAGTCGACATTAGAAAGCGTTTCAACATTAGGCACTTCATGTATGAAGGTATGTTTCTCTAATTACTTTTTTGTGGTGTGTGTTGTTTTAAAGACGAATAAAAACGTGTACTTTGGACGTACACATTTTTACGCATCGCAGCAGACCGAAACCTTTTGAGTGTTGTGAAATCTAACGTTTGAAAACTAGCATTATAATTCCGATGTACATTACAGTCGGCCCCGAAAGTTGTCAGCTCTGCTCTCCGCCCGTCAGAGGACTTAACGATTCTAATCCCGCGCGAGTATGCGTGTACCCCGCGGCGTGGTCGGGACGCGCCCGGCCGCGTGGATGTGTGCGCCGTGTACAAGGCGAAGTTAGATCGTCCACACTTTACCGCGGGCCTCGATAGAACGGTACAGGCGGAGGCGATATTGGCCGACGCTGAAAGCCCTAGGTGTGGAAGCGAAGCTGCTTTGTGCGCGATGTTTAGCGGACTACTATAGTTTTTTGGCGAAACTTCTTTGTAGATTTGTGTTGAACCGGTATGGTGGTAGAACATTAGGATATTCGAAATGGCATGCCTCTTACACTAAAATGTATAGAAAAAACTGTTGCAAATTTTCGCCGCTTCAATTTCGAATCTGCATTGCATTTTATGCGACATTTTTCATTGAAAAATTGCGATAGGTGTTCTCTACACTTACTCTAAAATAAAAAATTAAATGTCTGTTACCTATTTACTATCATATTGTATTTTATGCCGCAAACTATCCATCGAATTTACCTCAAAGAATAATTTTATTTTTAACAAGCATTGTAAACATTGTTGCATGTTTAAGATAATGTAGAGTAACACACATTATATGATTTACTTAGAACTGCGACTATATAAATATATCACGTTTATAATGATGTTCTCTAAAAAAGTGCACTGTATCTTTTTCTAATCTTCCACGATAAGCTGGTCACTTTTGTATATTAGACACTACTTGTTAGTACGATTAGGATACAACATTTCCTCCGCCCTCGTACTGGTCAGCTTCTAACATCATTAATCTAACTTTCGTGCTACCCTTTATAATAGTTCGGCCCGCTCCCTGGGGCGGGTGGGCAAGTGAGAGGGTGGCAAGGGGATGGGGGGGTGTATTAACATACGAATTTGGACCCGTCCACGCCAGCCTTCTTCTTGAAGGGGGGCGAATTTAAGTTTCGCGTCGCGTATTGATCCGGTCCGTTTTTGTTAGTGTAATCGTGTGTGCACGTTTGAGGGTAAGCCCCGAACGGATTGTTACGATACAAAATGGCGGTGCACTAAAAATATGTCGGGAAAATATCGGTATTAAAACTGCTCGACTGATACGCTAGTTTTAGTCAGTAACTGTAAAAAAAATAGATATTTTTTTAATTGTTAAATTTTTTATCAAAAATTAAACAAAAATACAATTTTTCTCCACGTAATAAAGCAACAGCTTTTTTAAGATGTAATAAGATATAATATAAGAGGTAAAACAGAAGAGGTGGTGAGCAATGTACGACAATTATTATTATTTACTTACAAATAACCTATTAAAAAACATTTATTAAATATAAAATATAAAATAAAGATTACATAAGTATCAAGTAAACTTCATTATTCACTTAACCCTCGAGTGTAGCAGATGTCCATGGGCGGCGGTATTCACTTAACATCAGGTGAACCGTCTGCTCGTTTGACAACTTTTCGCATAAAAAAAAAAATGATAATGGAAAACTATAAAAAGAAACTACAGAAAAAACAAATATTAAAGTAATTTTGGAAACTTTTTTAACAGATTAATGTTCCAATAAAAATGTCGCAATCTTTCGTAAGCGGGGATCTTACGATAACCACGATCAGAGGAAACCAACCAAAGGAGGACAAGGTTTTCGGCGTGAATTTTTATTCTGTTCACAAGCACACGCACAAACAAGCACGTGCTATTCACACCTAGAGATCTCGTCGGCTATGACGACGTATCGCGCTTAACAAACAAAGTAAAGTTCATCTTTTGATCTCGTCTCGGCTCAGTGGTCCAAACGACGCTTCCAATCAACTGAGAGACAACTGTCCTGGGTGAACACTTCGCATTCAAACAACCACTATATGACGTACCATATCGATGCTGCAATATTTACGGTATTGAATACAGTAGTTGTGCTCCGAAAAACGAAGAAGGAAAAAATCGGATTTTATTCCTTCGATATTTTCAGTGTTCTATCGTCGATTAATGTAACAAAGACGAACGATTCACATCAACACGGTGTGCGGATTCGAAATATTTCTGAGTATCGAAACAATTGTAGTCGTTTTTCGTAGTTGATCAACACCTTCTACATCCTTGGTTGACTTAGAGCGCAATGTATAATGTACTTAGGGTACAATTATATATATATATATATATATATATATATATGTAGTATATATATACATATATATATGCCATTATTTCTAAAATATAGAGGTTTCCTCACGATCAAAAGCGAAAGTCAGCCATAAAGTCAAGTCAGAAATAAAAATTAACAATTTTCTTGTTACCGGCACCGGGGATCGAACTCGGGTAGCTCGAGTATATTGAATTTAAGGCGAGCTCCCGGACACTGAGCTATCACGACGGGATCACTTAAATTTGCTTTTATCTACATTTAGAATAGTTCTGTGATACTAAAAGTCTGTTAATATAACAGCGACCTGCAATAGGAAGTTGATCTGTTAGTAACAGATCAAATTCCGAAATACGGATCCCTAAAATTATAGACTTATATAATTGATGTTGTTAATATAGTAAATATTGTTAGATTACTTGAATAAGGCCGCAAATACATTTCATCGTTTAACTTTTGGGATTCGCCAAAATATTAAATATAAGACAAACACCTAATAAATTTACATTAATCTTTAAAGTTATCTTTAAACAACAATTCTCTTTTATTTCGGTTCCATTCACGATCCATCAACAAACTGCATACATTTCGAATCAGTTGATGTATGAGGTATGCAAGCCTCTTTTGATGGTTAAATTCAGATTACAATTTAAATTCCTAGCTGTATCCAGTATTCGTTTTACAGCCACAAACTGGCTTAAGCGACCCTGCATTCTTATTTACGACTGTTTAAATCGACAAAACTTGACGTGTTGTAAAATACAAACAATTGAAGTTACGTCTGCACACCGAAAATATTCCGTATCTATTAAATATATCCGTATCTGTTAAATCTATATCTATATTATATAGAACGTCTGTCTAATCTAGAACACACTTAGTATTTACTAGCGACCAGCGCCGGCTCGCACGGTTGCAATGTATTCTACATATAAACTTTCTTCTTGAATCACTCTATATAGTAAAAAAAACCGCATCAAGATCAGTTGCGCAGTTTTAAATATCTAAGCATACATAGGGACAGACAAACAGCGGGACGACTTTGTTACACCACATAGTGTGGTGATATTGGACACGCGGGTTACAATGAAGCGCTTGAATATGTAATTGATCGAAATGTAGTGAATTCGCTTCGGTTAGATTTGATTAGTTTAGTGACCACAGATCGCTGGCTGCGTATCGCCGGTGAGTCCAAACTAGATGTCATTCGGCAATGTCGGATGATTTTTTAATGGCGTTCGTGAAAATCGACCAATAGTGACCTAAATTTATTATTGAAGCGGCAAAGTTTTTGTCTCTCATGTAAACTTTTTTTGATTACGATTTAAATATATATTATCTGCATAACTCAATCAAGTTGCGTCTATTGCTTCATGGGGATTTATGGGCTAAAGGTTCTCGATACCGTGTCACAAAATCCAAAAAAAAAGCTTTGTGAGGTGCGAAGTATAAACTAATTTTACGAAAAGGTCTTAACAATATCTAGTATTTGACTTGTCAAAGGGCATATAACGAAAGCAGCTACATTTAATATTTAAAAGCAAACATTAATTTCAATACGCAACGCATAACCAGCGACCCTCGCACTTGAAATCCCCTGACTATTCAAGAAATTGCTCCAAACGGCTCCAAATAGCTTTATATCTATCTATCGTTGTGTTAACCCGTTATGTCGCTCCCACCCCTCCCTTTGAAATAACCTACATACTTGGGCGGGAAGTATTCGATGTCGTTGATAATAAAGATTCGTGCATTACGCGATTTTGTTTTTTAATTCTTCTAATTAATTAATTAATATGGATTTATATACCTATCAGATATTGCTGAAATAAATATGAATAACATTATTCAAAGGGTTGGGAAACTGATTGAGAATTCAAACTCTGACAAACACGGTCAGGAAATGTGGTTATACCACAGATTAAAAAACATAATTATATCATTGAAATTTTCTTTTTCTTTAAAAATTGCTACACGAACACAATTAACTTAAGCTCAGCCCAATTTGGAATTAAAATATTCCTCTTTGAACTATCAATCTTCGATTCATAACTGAGACTCGATATTACTAATTCAGAAGTTACCTACATGCTCAATACATAGGGCACGATGAGACTTAAAATAAAGTCTTCGTCCGCCTCAACCCAGCGTAATTGCGTACGCAAAAACACCCCTTTTCAACCCTCAGCCCACCCCACCCGACCATCCCTTAGATTACTCCTCTAAGATCACCCGTACGCACTTCCCCTCTTTAATTGTGACTCCCGGATTCATTATTGCCGTATCCTTGCGCGACCCGCTTTCGCTTATCTTTAGACGCTCCATGTGTGGGTTGTAACACGTTCCAATAGAGCCACTAGAAAAGGCAAATTAGCCTTTATAATGCTGACGAGGTTTTTTTTAATTTATGATAAACAAAATCTCATGGCAAAATTTTGGTCAATAAGTCTTCTGTCTCACTATAATCCAGACCCCGGTATTAGATAAGACATAGCAATTAATCTGGTATGGTATTAAAGTTCACATTGTGTTCACTTTTACGTATTAATACGAATATTTAGTACGGGAATATAGATGTGTTGTTTTTAGACTTTTTCAGGCAATTCTTTTCTTTTTTTCTTTCATAAGAACCTTCTCCTGATAATAACAAACACAACAATAAAAAGTGAACTCGGTTCAGCCGTTCACGCGTGATGGCGTGACCAAGGAAAATAGGGATTCATTTTAATATATATATAGTTATGATAGAACAACGGAGAGTTTACACTTGTCTTGCAGTTTTGAAACCCGTGCTGAAAGTTCACCACATTTACGGCCCCTTCACAGATATATCACAGATAAACTATAACGAAATATGAATATAATATTATTAAGAACGCAACTTTAAACAGGATTAATTGTAGAAGAGTTCCAGCCTTTCAATTATTCCATAAAATAGAAACAGAACTATATCAAAACTCTTCCAGTGTATCCCCGCTCTACCCGCGGCCATGTTAGTTGGTCGAATAATGTCTGGGCAGGTTTGCTTATCTATGTGTGCGGGCGCCCATGTGTTTGTTTGATTAATTCACGTAATTTTGGGCCCCATAAAGACCGCTCG